TATTATTCCCCGGCTCATGGGACACAAGCTAGAATGTCCCCTTTCCCCAATATGGACCTGTATGCTTCTCTTCGCGGGGTGTGCTTCTCAGCTCCAAGTATTTCACTCCATCCAGTGCATATTCCTTTACCACATCTTTGGTAACCTGGTACAAGAGGAAGAGAAAACATTATCCCCTGCTCACTCACTGTCTTTCCAACTTTAAATACTGCTTGAACAGTGGACGTGAAACTGAAAAGGAAATTTGGTGCAAAACAAAAATATGACAGTTTACCGCCAAGCAGCTCATATTGTCCCATAGCACTCGCAGTAACAAATTTGGTTGGCATTTGAGTTCTTCCACCCCAGTACTAAGCAGGCTAGGCCTTGCAAAGCTTCTGAAATCTGAGTAAACTGGGCTCCAAGGTGGCATTTCTGCTGCCAGTCTAATCCCACACTCCACTACCCTCGTCAGCACTGCAAATGCAGACGTCCTGCTGGAGAAACTGGGCGGGAAATATTTCTGAACACGTTCAAGCTCACAGATGCCTGATATGTTACATGATGAGGTGGTTCTAATATTTTGGACATTCGGTGCAATTCAGACACTCACAGTTCCAAAATTATTTTTTTTCATTACATGCTAATCAGCATCATTAATAAAGAGTAGGTATCAACAGCAAAATACAGAAGAGTTTAAAATATTAATAGAATCGAATCAATTCTATATCACAGATACAGTGATCTCACTTTGACATGAGTAATATTTTGAAATACTAGACCTAAACTATCACAACTGTTAATATTTCCAGTAGAGAGGCTACCAAGCTCAAGAAAATAAATCATACTGAATCACCCAAAATAAGCGAAATCACTATACCATAAAAAGATCTTCTTCGCTGTCAATTAATTGGTGGATTATTCTGAACATGTGAAAACACCTGAAACAGAAACAAAGCGATGCTTTGACAGTTAGCACAGGCACAAGGGCAGCCTCGCGCTGAAGTGCTATGGGAGTTCACACTGGACACGCTGATCCCGAGACTACAGTGCTCACTGGTACCCACTCGTCCAGAGTCCGGCGCTGGCCCTTGTGAATGGCCGTCATGCTGTGCTGGACGTTGAGGTGGGGTTTCCGGGCGATGAGCCGCTCCATGGTGGGTACGCTGACAGAGCCGTTGAGGTGTGCGTGCAGCTCCTGCAAGATCAAAGGCAGAAGAGCCCCTTACCCGCCTCTCGGCACTACATACCAGCAGCCCCCCCCAGGCTCCCCACTAGGGCCTGATGTTATCAACACCGAGAGCCAGTACTCCCATCGACAGACATGCAGGAATGTTACATTGAACAGGACGACGCTGTACACTCCCATGCAGACTTTCCTCAAACATGTTTTAACACGTGAGAGTAATATTCGTGTCTGTTCTCGATCTTCCGACATTGAAAAGCGAGTAGATACCACCTCGGGACCAGCCGAGCTCACTGCGTGCTGTGACCCCTCTGATTTCATTACACTGACACTGACACCTGAAGAAGGGTCCACAGCCACACGCTGTCTCTTTTCTTTTCCTTTCAGCGTGGAATAAACCTTTACCTGTTTCACTACGTTTATCCGACACGAAAGTTTAAACAAAAAAAATCAATTATTTCAAGTCACCCGTCGGTTCTGAGATTTCTAATTCCGATAAAATATCACAAGGTTATACTTAAGACATTGTACAGCGCTTTTGAGAACAACTGTGAACAACTGTTACCACTTTCGGAAGGTCTCGATAAAACGCCTCATTTTCATCCTCCATTCCTTGTTTTACTCTGGTCCGTTCTGTATATTTAAATACAGTTTATACAGGATATATCAAAATGTTTTCAGAAAACAAACGTTTTAATCACAAGCTACAGTACTTCCTCTGTGTACTGTTTTCAGATCGCTTTCTGTCGTTGCACACTTTGTGCATCACCCACATCAGTCCCCGTTTTACTATCAACTCAAATAATAGTTCCTATTTTGACAAATTGCCTTGCGTGTTATTCCTCTTCGTTACAGTTCGGCTGCTGTTTTAGTAATATTGAAAACTTTAATAACCAACTGAATGCATTAAAATATAATTTATAAGTATTTTCTCTACTGAATATGTTATTATATATATAGAACTAATCTTTTCTGCCTAATGTCAGACATACTGTCTGGTGTATTCTTAGCACAATTCTTTGCACAATCCTGTTAAGTAAATTGCACTGTGCACATTGCACTTTATGTCAGAAATGTCTATGTCTACATTGTCTATAGTATTGGCTAGTCAGTGCCTTGTCTGTATTCGCAGCGTAGACCTGGAGAACGATATCTTGCACCACTGTATACTTGTATATGGCTGGAATGACAAATAAACTTGAACTTAATATTATCTGTAAATGTTATTATTGTTGTTGTTATTATTAATAATAATACAATTTTATGTCTCATGAAAACTGCATAGTTATACAAATTGATGCAGAACATAAAGAGTTTTATTTTTCCAATATTTCATTTGCAGAGGTGAGACAGAGGTTTTGCAGGAAGATAACCAAAACACCCTTTATGAACTTACTGACAAATTCTATGTTAGTTGTAAGGTGTCTTAAAACCTGCAAAACACTACAATAAAAGTTAATTTAACAATAAATAGTAAGGTAGCTGGCAGCTTGTCCCAAATTAAAATTGTCCCAGACGTTGTTGAACTGATTGAAAATGTCTTGGGCTCCAGCTTGGGATGTCCGTGTGTGTGGAGTTTGCATGTTCTCTCCATCTTCACATGGAATGGCAGGTCAAGGTTTTCATCCTCTGAGTATTTGTTCCCAGTAGAACCAGCACTGGCTAAAGGACAACAGAACCATCTGAACACATGAGCCCAAAGGCCACTTCTCTGGTCTTTACACATTAAATAGCTAAGAGTAGATGTGCAGTATCTGAAGAGCTGTACAGGGGCAGGATGACATGCCTGCTGTTATAGAAGGCTAGAAACTCTTTGGCTGTCAGATTTTGAACAATATACCAGCAATAAGACATGCAAATGATGCATGGGATGCAGGAAATGGCATGAAAGTTTCAATTTCTTTCATTATATTATCCAACAATTTCAATTAAACAGCAATGTGTACTACTGTAAAGGATTTGACACTGTGTTATGAGCTTAAATTTACAACATAAATCCTGAATTTAAATCATGGACACATTATAGTTAAAACCCTCTCATTTATTTTCTTAGAAAGTAATTTAATTATGTATTTTTACTCCCCTTTTAGACTACAGTATATCATACTACTAACAACCTAAATTTGAAACTTGAATTGTAATGCAGAGCTTCTGCTCATATAAAACTTAAAGGCTTTTAAGGAAAAAAAGAAACATACCTGTTAATGTTTCATTTTAAATATCTCTTTTTTTGCTTTTATACAATAAAGTGATCTATGATTCAGTCTAGAAAGGTCGATAAATATGCACCCACTTCAAGAACTCCAGCTATCAGTGCTGCTGCAGAGAGAGGCCAGAGAAGCACAGCCCTCCTGCAGAAGTGTGCACAGACCAGGTAAGAGTTCTTTCAGAATGTCCCGTCTGGCACTGACCTCTGGTTTCCCAATATCTCTGCAGCTGCATCGACTGCTGTTCTCAAAACACGTGCTCTGCTTATTGAGACATCAAATATGTGCCCTGGAATGCAATATTTTTCAACAGCAACATTCAAAACACACATGGAAATTAATAGTTAAATTATACATATCAAATAAATACACTTATACATAGGGATGTGCTCACGAGAAGCCTTCTCCCTGTGACCATGTAACTTCAGAAATTTACCTGCACTTGTGTATTTGCACATTAACTCATTTTCTAAGCACTGGAAGGGAAAACCTTTACAATTGCAAAGAAATACAGTTCATGTCCTTTACCAATATAACTTCACAACCCTAACAGTACATTTTAAACGCTACATTTCAGGTAGAATTATTAAAAGATTTAGTTGGTGAAAAGGGAAAAAAAGAGCATAACACATATTCACTAGAAAAAGGTTACTGAACCAGTAACAAGGACAGAGTTGAAAGGAGTGAATGGGAAAGCAATCATGCATAATACCTGCTAATACCTACTCTGAACTCCAGAGTACCAGAGGATGAGATGAAAAACTAAGCTGCTTGCTTCTTATCATAATCAAAGAAAGTAAATTGAGTGAATACTCAGTTATATGTCCATTCATTTACTTTTATGAATTATGGTTAGCAAAATTCTTTTTTAATTTATAGACTATTTTGCCTAAAGAAAAACAAAACAAAACAGTGACACCAGTGGAACAAGTCTTCTTTGTTTTTGCAATTATTTTGAGATACTTAACACAAAAGGAAAAAGTAAATGATAGTTTAACTATCGCCAAATGTCTGATGCTCAGTGCAAACAGAGCAGAGCCCACAAGGGAAAGCACATCCTGGAAAACCATGTTCTCTCTTTTTCTCTCCTCTCCTGGAAGTGCTGCAGGAACAAGCTCTTATATGTTGGCCATTTACAGCATAAACAAAAATACTTGTCTATTCTTAATTTATATACAAGAGCAAAAGATCACAAGCTGTGCAGATTTTATGCAGTAACACAGTTTCTTACCTTGGGCTATGTTATTTTTAATACTCTCAAAAGCACTATGCAGTCACTAGTAATTTGCCACCAGATTATTCTGTGATATTATTCTTTCAAATGCATATTTTGTTGTCATATAGGTTTTACATGTATACAGTCATTATAATACAAATTAGTTTTAAATAACATTTTACATCATAAACCCAGACATGTTTTACTTCAGAAGACATTGTCCAGTACTGTCTTCATATATTTACACATCTTTAAAAAAATACAAACCAGACAATGGCTGCCATTGTCATCTCATCAATTCGTCCATGTTATCAATTTATGTGGTTTATCAATTTTTGCCTTGAAAGGCCCTAATAATCTGGACCGAGACATTCCACAATGCATAGTCATTATTTTCTCTTACTGAGGGTGTTTCAGCAGGAAGCCACAGTTCACAGCCTCCACACCGTTGGCAAAAGCTAAGCAAGCATTGTACCAAAAGGACTATCACGGGAATAAATCCAGAATGATGCAGTGAAAAAAGAAGCAAATACCATGTGTTATCTTGCTTTACAAAAATCCAAGGATAGAAAACATCAATCCACATTCAAGGGGTAATTCCATCTCGCTTCCAGAAAAGTTTTCACATTGCCTGGGGTTGCAAAACTGAAATTAAATCCCTTTTACACTCCTTTCCATGACAGAACAAGATATTTACTTCCCCAAGAAAGGGGGTCTTGCGGGACATTTTCCAAACATTTCCCAATTCAAAGCACAAAAGCATCCAAGCACAGCTTGAACAGTGTTTTAACAGTACTTCTGGTCTTACAGCTATGTCACGTCCGAGATGTTTAGAACAGATGAAGGGGAGAGATGGTCCACCAACATGGACACATTATATCATACAGAGCTTCCCGTATCAAACGTCTCACAGTCTATACTCCAAAGTGAAACCAATTAAATCTCTCGCTTTTACCCATAAGAACATTTTCACCTTACACAACAGCACACTGAAACAACAGCTCATAATGGCACGATCTGCAGGCCACTTGTCTTTCATCTCCGACTGCTTTCATCAGCTCCTTTCACTCACCCCTAAAGTGAGACAGAAAGGATGTGCCTGTTGCTATTGCAGAAAACCACAAAAAGCCTTTGAGGTGGGGGGGGGTCCGCGAAAGTGGTCTGGCGGGGTCCAGCTCCTACTCAAGGCCTATATGACATAAAGGACTAGCAGACTGGGACATGATTTCAAAAGTCAGGCGCTGCTCCTGTGGGCCGGCAGCTCAGATGTACAAGGAGCCATCAGCTGGGCCTATGTAGCCCAGGCCAATGAGAAGCACATCGATCAAGGTCCAGATGCCCAGACCTCCGAAACTGAAGAGCTTCCCCAGGCCCTCGCGCCACTGGCCCAGGTAGAAACGATCTGCGCCAAAGCCTCCCAGGGTTACGCTGGAGAGAGACAGGCAGAGCCAAGATTACCTCAGAGTTGTCAGGCTAAAATCACCAAATAAGATACAGTAGAAACAAAATGCCATGATAAAGCTAGAACACAAGACAACAATCAATAATGTTAAAACATGGGAAAGGACTTTTTACTCCATCAATTTAAAGTACATTTTCACATTTTAAGAACAGTTTCCAAAGACCCAGATCAAACACTTCTTAAGCGCCATCACTATCAAATGCAGGGGTAGAGCTACCTGGTGCTGTACAGCGTTGCTGGTGAGGCTCTTTGATGATCAAATCATTGATATTATTCCCATGACAATGGGATAAAAATCATTTTTGAAAAGCAGTTTTAGAAGTTTTTTTCTGTGCCAGCATATTCAAATAATCTGAAATTTCACACGACCTTAAAACAAGTCAGAATATTGCATCAGCCTGAAATCACAGATTTACCATAAGCAATAAACTACAGGCTGGCAAACAAAAATAATTTTTCTAAAATCACAAAACAAGTGGAATATCGCAGAAAACATTTAAAATATTAACAAATATAGGATGTATTATAATAAATTGGGTAAATTAATTACCTGAGAGCCAGGGCTGTAGACCACCTGTAGCCTCCTGTCCAGTTGCAGTATAATCTTTTAGGAAAAGTACGTGCCCCTGCAGAGAAAACACAGACAATAGCTTATTTCAAAAAGGGATGAAAATGAGCGTACTCTCCCGCTATCTAGAGCCTACAAAATCAACCTGAATTATTAAAGAAACACTTCAGAGTCTGCTTCTAGAACCTTAATAATGAGCATTTGTGGAACACTATTCTGACAAGTATAATATCATCCCAATTACCAGCACTAAAGTATTCATAAAGTAGCCGTGGAGAGTTTCTACATTAAAAATATCTTTATAACGCCATAAAAAGAATGCCAGAAAACCTTGAAGATGCACTGTAGCTGATCCGTCACAAAAGCAAACTGATGTAATAACCTTGAGTTGATATAGTGCCTTTAAAAGAATCTTCTCAAAGTATTTGAACTCTGAGAAGACTCTTTTAAAGGATATTTGAAACAGCACGTTAACTCGGAGGGACTCAAACGCCGTACCCAAGCAGTGCACGTGATCCAGCACGGCGCAGGTGGCGTTGTACCGTCTCCGGGGACACGCGACGGTCATGCAGCTGGTGGAGTTGGTGCACTTGTACAGGGAGGCGGGCAGCTGCCAGCAGAACCGACACGTCATGTTCAAGGAGAAGGTGGTCAGCTGCTGTCGGGACCCCCCCTGCGAGACAGAGGAGCTCAGCGGACCCAGAGAACAGCAGCACGGCCGCTGGCCACACTATTCCAGGTTGCTCTACAAGCCTCAGGTTCACAAGGACAGACATTCTGGAGATCATACTGCATTCTGAGACTTCAACAATGGTAAACGAAGGAGTAACATTGTCAGACATCAAAATGAAGGCATTTACTTACATCAGTAGTGATTATGCAGAAAGTGAAGCTCATAATGCAAATCACATTTATGCCTTCCTCACTTAATGCATTAGCAGTACTACACTTAATTTCTAAATTCACTGCCAAGTTCCAACATTTCTATGGTGTATACAGTACATAAAGAGTTCAATCTGTGTAAACTTAATGAGAGGAGAATAGCAGTTTTTTGCTCTACTAATACTATCTATTCCCTTCTTAAAGGAGTCAGCACCAATTTCCCTGACCTGGGAGGTGGGTCACGATTTCTACAAGCATTTGTGCCATCTTAACATGTGAATGTTTGTTCGTGCAATTCAATACCTCTCCATTTGGTATTTAAGTTCACATTCCTGCTTCCTGCACATCAAATCTTGCACATCATATTATCCACCTTAAACTTCACCGTCTAGTGTCAAGACATCTGACTGCAAAAGGACTAGCAGAACGTTTGATGCACAGATCTGACTGCAAAAGGACTAGCAGAACGTTTGATGCACAGATCTGACTGCAAAAGGACTAGCAGAACGTTTGATGCACAGACACTTACTAGATCCTCAGTTGTCCAAGGAACAATAGCATTTAAATACTCTAGCAATCTGTCCATATTGATTGGGAAACTACAGACCAGAGAAAAAATGTATGAATTAATTAAATGTATTCATTTGGAGACAAAGAATTCTGAATAATTGCTAATGGCAGCTACAGTAATATTGTCAACTCTTAACTATGGAGTCAGATATCAACCCTAAGCCATTTTAACAGCATACATAACTCCAGCAGTTCATGTAGGTCGCTGTGTCAGCATGCGTAGGCTGCAAAGGAACAAGTAAAGGTTTATTCTGTGCTGAAAAGAAACACAACATTTTGGCTGCAGAGCCTTTTTCAGGTGTGTGGAAACATTGTGTTTTCTTTTCCTTTCAGCATGGAATAAACCTTTACCTGTTTCTTTGCAGCTCACGCATGCTGACACAGCCCCCTACATGAAGAAAACTCTCTCCTTCTGTATCTGAAAAGGTATTTGGGCACTGTAACTTTGGAAGTACTGTAGTTTGTGGCTGTGTTTCTGCGTTGGGTAGCAACGGGTGACTGTTCTCAGGCGGAAGATGTAAACAGCTTAATTTTCGTGTTAAATAATTTTTTTTAATTAAAATTCATTCTATACAGCAATCGCATATTTGGGTACTGTTTCATAAAACTTTCATGCTTAAAATGTTTAGGGAGAAATGGAAGACTGGTGTGTATTTTTTCTTTAAACTACCAAGACCAGCCATACACAATACAGTTTACATACAGTAATGTTTATGTTCCTAAATTAATATCGTTTATGACCTTCAGATGCATTATGCTCCTCTTCTTTTATGCTCAGCTACTAAAATTTCCCTTTAGTGGTAAAATTCCATATAAATATTCAATACTAAGCGGATTAAAATGTGCACAGTAAAGAGATTAAATGATTAAATCTTTTCACTACCAACCAATGCACCACGAGTGCCCCTGTCGGTCATTTTGGCCAGCCAATCGCTTACCGCGGTGCCCTGCGGTGGCTTGTGGGTAGTTTACCTTACCGTGGGTTTGTACCGTGCATTTTGAATGGCTGCATCTGTACCAGCTGAGGTATTGAAAAGTTTGATGTAATTTTGTTTGAGTCGGCACAACAGCTTTGTCGGAGCATGTTCAGCCAGAAAGTCCTTTCCGCTCCTCCTAACTCTTTACAGACAGACGCTCCTCTCCTGAAGGAGACTCACCGTGCAGTGGACGCCAGGCTTGACCGTGCACTGGAAGGTCGCCTCTCTGCCGTAGGTGCAGTTAGTGTGGGTCTTACATGTGATGCATTCAGCAGGCAGCTTAGTACACAGCCCTCCACTCGGACAGCTGGAGACGTCAGCAGGTGTGTCTGTCCCTCTTACTGCTGAGAGACACATGGAAATCTGTTTCACATCCAGATTCATGACACGTACAAGTCTGCCACAATATTAAACTCTGAACACTACTGAAATGAGATGGAAACTCTATGGACTCCAGGATTTTCTATAATTTGCATAATACCATCTTTACTTGCACACACATAAATATTGCATTAAAAGTTTGATACAAACTATTAATACTTTTAAATAGTATTTCTTTTTTTTGGTGTTTATTGTAATTATGTAATGCCCCTATTTCGAGCCAATTTTTTTTGTTTGTTAAAACAACAAGAAAGCTGATGCTAAGATTCTTTGATTTCTTAAGGTTACCTGCCCTTCACAGTTTCACGGAACCACTGAATGTTGAGCTTTTTTTAGAACTGGATCTCTGCTGACATTAACTCTGATTATACCGACTATGAGCTGAAGAAAAGATTTCAGACAATGATTTTGTTTCAGCATATAAATGTGGGATTGTCGAGTGCAGGAGAGAATGGCACCTACTCCTCCATACCTGCCCACCTGCAGAGTCATTCTCCACACGCTCCCCTGCTGAGAGCCCCAGAAAGCCCTGGCCAGCGAACCCCAGCTCTACCTCGCTGGAAAGAGCTGGTCACCACCGGCCAGACTGAACATGAACCTCTAGAGAACAGGGCTCAGCCTGCACCCTCGACATGCACTTTGGGAGCCAGTGATTCACGACTCACCTTGCACTAGCAGTAACTAAAAACGTCTCGCTGTTTTGTGTCCATGGGTTTTACTATTTGGAAAAAACACGGGTATATCGCTGTGGTGTTACTATACTAGTTGAGCTTTTCTTCACACCCTTACCCTGTCCACTGCCACCTAATGGGGTCTCGCCACTGCTGGCAGGAGCCGGAGGGGCCGAGGTGGAGAGGACTTGAGTCTGCTGAGCGTCCCTTCCATACGAGGGGTCATGGCCAGCGTGAGGTGAACTCAAGTAACCTGTAAACACAGACAGACAGGCCTCAGCACGCACACTCCTGGGACACA